ATACATATCAAAAGTGTTTTAAATTGCTAACTTATGTTAACAGTTTTAAGACAATCCTATTTGCTTGAATTGATTGTTTTTCTTGCAATTATATTACAAGTAAAAATAAAACCAAAACATGTCGAAGGATAAGCTATTCTGCGTAGTAGCTTTATATCATTCGACTGTTTACTCCTCCTTGGAATAAGCCTTGACGTGGCGGTGGAGCTAAGTACTTTCAAACTAGAAGGGAAACTAATTATTCCATTTTTTTGTCTCCAATTCTTAACACCTGTTAAAAATTTAGTCAGACAATGAAGATATATTAAATATGTTATTTCCACCATCATTACATGATGGCTATATTAACAACTGAAACATGTTGAATGGCCGCTACTTTAGTAGTGTTTTATTATTCGACTGTTTTACTCCTCCAAGGAATAAGCCTTGACGTGGCGGTGGAGCTAAGTACTTTCATAAAAGAAAGGAAACCAATTATTCCGTGTTTAATGTTGTAGTTTATAATATAGTCGGCAAAGCCAGATATTCAAGTCATCCTTTTTTTAAAGCGAGATTTACATATAGCTTTTATACATAATTTTGTTTTGAGTTTATACAAATGTCCGATTTCATGTACCCCAAAGATGATACATTTATTCTATCTTCTGGAGGAGCTTTTGTGTATATCCAAAGTGGTGAAGGGTATCATATAGTCGGCCCCGTCCGACTTTACTACTTTCCTTACTGGTTTTTTTTTATTTTTTCTTTTTTGTAGTTCTTTTTTAATATTTCCCTATTCGACAACCTGGCGTAGGAGATGAGCAACGGCTCTGGTCTGAGCAACGGCTCTGATTGGCTTTAACATGGCGAATTGCAGGCTTATCTTGGTCCAACTTTCATCTCAATTGTGGACACTGACCACCCCGCTGTGCCACCTATTTTCATCACCCGATGAAATAGTAGTTAATATGTGCCGCGAGTTCATCCATAAGAACTATACAAAAATGGGTTGAGGCGTCGGGTTAGTTGTCCTCTCTCGGAAAGCCCCTCCTACTATGAAAAAGCAAAGAAAGAGAAAACCAAACCCCCCTAATGTTGACCACGATCTGCGAATCTGCACTTGGAATGTGCGCACGTTGTACAGAACAGGCACATTTCTCGCTTGGGCGGATGTACTCAAGAAGTACGATATTATTGCCTTACAGGAAATGAGGACTGACGTAAACAAATCAGATGATTACAGCCTGTATTATAACTGCCATGAAACGAGACATGAATTTGGCTGCGGATTCATGGTTAACAATAGAATAATTGACGTCGTCTCCAGATTCACTCCTGTAGATGAGGGAATTGCTAAAATCCGTATAAAAGCGACGTTCTTCTACATAAGTCTCATTTGCGCCCATGCTACGACCGAACATAAAGATGAACAGACCAAAGACATATTTTACGAGCGCCTAGAAACAGCATATGACCATTGCCCTGGCAATGACATTAAAATTCTGCTAGGAGATTTTAATACAAAAATCGGAAGGGAAAATATATTTGGCTCCACTTTCGTAAAATTAAACCTCCACGAAGAAACATCAGGCAACGGCATGAGGTTGATTGATTTTGCGGCACCAAAAACATGGTAGTTAGCAGCACCAGATACAAGCATCTCGATATACACAAGACCACATGGATTTCTCCCGATCGAACAACGAGAAATCAAATTGATCATGTTGTGATAGACGGAACGTATTCATCCAGTGTATTAGACGTTCGATCGATCCGAGGAGGGAATATCGATTCGGACCACTACCTTGTAGCAGCCAAGGTTCGCACTCGTCTGAATGTTGCAGCAAAGGTGCGATCTAACACAACAGCTGCAAGCACAATAGGTAGCAGAGGCCTACTCCGCTCAACTTACCCACATGCTTGACGAAAGCACTTCTTGTCCCGATAATAGTATAGAAGCACAATGGCAAAGGATTGTCCACTACCTAAAACTGCAACAAAAGTAACACTTAGGTACCAAAGACCAGGGATGGTTCTTGCGACGAATTTTTAGGTTTTCGACTGTCAAAAAGGTGTAAACGTCGAAAACGTCATATACCTGTATAAAATGTAATAAATGTAGTAAACGTCATTTATTTGAATATTATTATCAAACACAGTTATTTTCATAAATATACATTATTTTTACATATATCTGAATATTCTTTACTAGAACTGATAAAAAAGTCTAAACTTTTTGGAGAAGAAAATATTGAAATTTTATATGGATTTGATTAAAGCACACGTAATTTCTAAATTGTTTAATGGAAATAACTATTTTGTCAAAAAAACTAATGGTTTTGGGTGGGTTTCCGACGTTTCTGACGTATGTATTATACGTCGGAAATGTATGTCATTTACGTCACTGTTTCTGACGGACCATCTCTGCCAAAGACCACCATGAAGAAATCTGTGGTACGATCAGGAGTGTCGTAATGCTACTGATGTGAAAAACGCAGCGTATAGGGCAACCCTGCAGACAGTAGCAACACGTAATGTGATGGAGAATTATCGGAAAAAAGGAGAGAGGAGAAACGTATTTTCAGAAAAAAGAAGAACGAACAAAAAAACGTGAGCGTGAGCAAAGCGAGATGTACAGGAGTCAGACTGAAGTCCGAAAATTCTACCAACGGGTAAGACACCAAACCGAAGGCATGCACATCCTCCTGTAGAGAGGAAGGAGCAAACCTGGTGACAGATACAGACAGCGTGCTTAGGATCTGGAAGGAGCATTTTGAGAAGCTTCTGGTATCAAATAGTAGCGGTGAAGAGGATACCCCAGAACCAATAATAGGTGACTGTATACAGTGTATACAACCTAACCTAGATGAGGTCAGAATGGCAATCAATCGACTGAAGAATAATAAGGCAGCAGGGGTTACAAGCCGAACTATTCAAGACTAGTGGTCAGATGCTGGTCAGGAGCATGCACCAAGTGATTAGTACAATTTGGCTAGAAGAATACATGCCCAATAATTGGAACCTCAGCATTCTGTGTCCCGTACACAAAAAAGGAGACAAGACGATATGTGCCAACTATAGAGGAATAAGTCTCCTTCCCATCGCATATAAAGTGCTATCCAGTGTACTGTGTGAACGATTGAAGCCAATCGTCAATGATATTATTGGACTATACGAATGCGGCTTCAGACCTGGCAAATCCACCATTGACCAGATTTTCACTCTGCGCCAAATCCTGGGAAAACCCACGAAAAACACATCGACATATACCACCTATTCGTCGACTATAAAGCCGAATTTGACAGCCCTATCCGTTCAGAGGCATTTGAAGGCATGTCTTCGTTCGGAATTCCTGCAAAATTAATACGTCTGTGCAGGATAACTTTAGCAGGTACAAAATCAGCAGTTTATATCGGAAAGGACCTATCGGAGAACTTCAATACCGAACGAGGATTCAGACAAGGTGACAGTTTGTCGTGTGACCTTTTTAACATCCTGCTGGAAAAGGTCATACGAGACGCAGGGGTGAACAGAACTGGCACTGTGTACACCAAACAACACATGTTACTCGCCTACGCCAATGACATCGATATAATGGCTCGAACATTGCGAGCGGTAACAGCCACCTTTGAAAAAATTGAGAAGGAGTCTGCCAAAGTGGGTCTGGCTGTAAACGGCGAGAACACCAAGCTGATGGTATCAACGCGCAAGACGTCCAGTAGACTCGGACCAACTGTAGAACTTGAGAACTACAGCTTCGAAGTAGTCAACGATTTTATATACCTTGGTACCGCCATATATAAAACGAATGACATCAGTTTTAAAAATTCAGAGAAGGATAGTGTTGGCCAACAGATGGTACTATGGTCTGAGCAAACAACTCAAGAGCAAGGCCACCTCCCGCCAGACCAAACTCACACTCTACAAGACGCTGATACTAACCGTGCTGTTATATGGATCTGAAGCATGGGTACTTGCACAAGCAGATGAGGCAGCTCTTGGAATGTTTGAGAGCAAAATTCTACAAAAGATCTATGGGCCGATCTGCGTTGACGACGAATATCGCCGTCGAATGAACCATGAGTTGTACCAGCTATTCTCGGACATCGACATTGTTAAACGTATTGAGCTGTTGCGACTTCCTTGGCTAGGTCATGTTGTGAGAATGGATTAAGATGCCGCCCAGAAGGCATATAAAAGCGAACCAGCTGATATTTCACGCAGAAGGGGAAGGCCACGAATAAGATGGAAAGATCACGTGGAAGATAACAATGCCGAATATGGTCTTTCAAATTGGAAAACTGCGCAAAAGACCGACGCGCCTGGAAATCTTTTTTAAGTTTGGCTTATGGAACGAAAGTTCTGTCACAAGCCAGCTAAGTAAGTAAACAAGCGTGGATTTTTTAAATAATTTTTTTCGAGGACCACAAGAGGCGTGGATTTTTTAAATAATTTTTTTTAGAGGACCACAATAGGCGTGGATTTTTTAAATAATTTTTTTCGAGGACCACAAGAGGCGTGGATTTTTAAAAAAATATTTTTTTCGAGGACCACAAGGGGCGTGGATTTTTTAAATATTTTTTTCGAGGACCACAAGAAGCGTGGATTTTTTAAATAATTTTTTTCGGGGACCACAAGAGGCGTAGATTTTTTTTAAATAATTTTTTTCGAGGACAACAAGAGGCGTATATTTTTTAAATAATTTTTTTCGAGCGCCTCAAAAGGTTTGGGTTTTTTAAATAATTTTTTTATTTTAAATTTTATTGTAGTTCTTTTTTATTTAATATTACCCTATTCGATAACCTCCCCTAAGATGATCATAAAAATTAGCTGACATAATTTTTATTAATTTGCGTATTTATTTTGCAAAAATATTAAAAAAATTATGTATGTATGTATGTGTGTATATTTTTCAAATGATAACCCAGCTGTCGTTATTCGGCCATTGAAACCAAATGCCAAACGCTTACATTAATATTTGTTGTTGTTTTCAAATCGTGTTTTTTTCAATTTTGATTTCTTATCATTTTTAATTTTTTTGATACATTTTGTCAATGACCTTGGCATATTTCGTGTGGACAATGTTGCGGCGAATTTTCAGTGTGGGACCTAAGGGGAGAGATTAATTAAAAAATATATGTTTTTTATTTTATTTATTTTTTGTAATAAAAAAATATTGTGACTCACCCAATTCCCCAGTGGGTATTGAAAAATCATGTGGCAGCACACTAAAATATTGAATTTTCTGGGCATTCGATATGGCCTGCAGGTTATAACGTTCGATGCCCGCTTCCAAGGCTAACTGTACCTTATTATCAAGTTGTACCTCCACACTATTTGGATCGAAGTCTTGCAGATTTTCTGGCAATTCAATGTGTAACATTTCCGAGAGATGATTATAATGGAGATCTAATGAGGCCAACCATTCTTTGGTTTCGGGTAGCAGAGTGTCCATGGGATAACCGGTATGAGGATCGATGTCAGTCTGGAAAATAAGTTTTTTAATAATTTGTTTCAAGGTATTTTTGAACCCTTTACCTTAAATGTCAATAGGGCGGTCAAATATTTCCTATGATCCCCTATGGCCATAACATTACTCAGACAGGGCAATTCCTTTTTAATCAAAGACTCAATGTGTACGGGAGGTATATTTTCACCACCGGCCGTAATGATCAGTTCCTTGATACGGCCACTTACATAGACATTACCCTCGGTATCCAAATAGGCCACATCTCCAGTCAAAATCCAACAGTCATCGGTTACCGTGTCCTTGGTCTTCTCCGGCTCCTTTAGGTAGCCCATGAAGTTGGTGCGGCCCCTTACCAGAAGCTATTTAAAAAGATTTGTATTTTATTAAAAACATTTTTCTAAATCCCTCAAATTTACCTCCCCTTCATTCTTTTCCCCCGTGGGATCCTTTATTTTAATTTCCACTCCCTCAACGGGTTTTCCGGTGGCCAGCAGATTGGTCTTCTCAAAGTTGAAAATAATACCACCACTGGTCTCGGACATACCGAAAACATCGGTCAAGGGTAAATCCAAACTTAGGAAAAACAATTTCAGTTCTTCGGTGACCGGTGCTCCGCCAATGATACAATCCTTGATGGATCCCAAACCAATGGCATGCTTAATGCGATTGGTCAGTTTAGAGGCCAGCCAGTACTTCATACAGGAATTGGGTTTTCTGAAAAGGAGTGGATTTTTTAAAAAAATATTTTTTAGGGACCCCGAAGAGGTGGGGATTTTTAAAATTATTTTTTTATGGACCCCGAAGAGGTAAGGATTTTTAAAATTATTTTTTAGGGATCCCGAAGAGGTGGGAATTTTTAAATTATTTTTTAGCGACCCCGAAGAGGTGGGGATTTTTTTAATAATTTTTTAGGGGCCCGAAGAGGTTGGGATTTTTTAAATAATTTTTTTTTTTTCGCTTACCCCTCAAGCCGATTTAGATGATATTGCTGCATATAGTTCCTGGCCCTTTGCAGCAAACACCTCTTCAGGCATCCCGAATTGGCTTCCAATAGCATTAGCTGCTCCTGCATTTTTTCAAAGATCCGTGGAACACCAAACATTACTGTCGGCTGAACTTCTTGCAAGGTTCTCCCCAGGGTACCCTTCAGTGCATTGCGGTCAGCAAAATATGTTACCGCCCCAAATTCCATACCCATAAACATATCAAACAATTGAGCGGCCATATGATTGAGCGGTAAATAGGAAATAATTTTTTCACCACCCTGCTGCAGATAGGGCAGACAACGATTAATGGTCTTGGCACAATACAATATACCATCGTGCGAGATCATACAGCCCTTGGGCATGCCCACGGTGCCGGACTGAAATTAATAAAAACATTTCCGACATAAGTTATGGATGTTTAAAAATATTTTTTAAGGTTCCGAAAAGTGTTTGAACTTTTTAAAATATATTTTGATTGAATTCGGAGTTCGGAATTTTTCAAAAAATATTTTTTAGAAAATATTTTTTCATGAGCCCTTGTTCCAACCTACCGTAAATATAAGTAGAGCACAATCATTTGCGGCCACTTCCCTTTCCCTCTCCAGCAATTCCTCCCGCAATGAAGTACTAAACTCCATTTCCCACAGATCCGACCAACGATAATAGCCCTCCTCCTGTTGTTCCTTATCGAAGTCATAGGGCCCATGTAGCTGAACAACTGCCTTCAGCTGAGGCAAACTAGCACGTATCGAACGAATTTTCTGCAATTGTTTCGTATCATCCACGACCACCACACTGGCATCTGAGGTCTCGAGTATATGAAAAACGGCCTCTGCCGAATTGGTAGTATAAATTCCAGCCGATACGGCATTTATTCGTACCGCTGCCAAATTTACATAAAACCATTCCGGACAATTGAAGGATAAAATTCCCACCGACGTACGAGGTTCCACACCCAAATAAAGTAATGCCAATGCTGCCCGTTCAACATTCCGCTCATATTCTTCATAGCTTACGGTAGCCCACTGCTCTAATTTATCCTTGTAGGCCAGGGCGGGATAATCTCTAAATCTTTCACAACATTGATGGAAAAATTCCGGTATAGTTTGAATCGAAATATCGGATAGACTTTCCTCAGAGGCTAATATTTTGACAGGCTCATGCAAGGAGCAAGAGGTATAATTTGTGGCCGGTTTAAGCGATGCCATCTCAATGCGATGCGGTTAATAACTGAAAGTCATGGCTTCATTTTCCAACAGCAATCATGGTGATTACATGCCGCAAAACAAAGAAGCTGCGATCCGTCATGAATAAAACAATGACCCTTGAATTATGTACCCCTTATCACCACGAAGTGCAATACATTTTTAGGTCAGTAAAAAAAAATATATTTGGAAAAAATACACGAGCAATTATTAATCATGGAATGGTATTTTTTTAAATAATTATTTTAGGCAACCCAAGAGGCGTGGATTTTTTAAATAAATTTTTTTAGGCAACCCCAAGAGGCGTGGATTTTTTTTTAAATATTTTTTTTAGGCAACACCCAGAGGCGTAGATTTTTTTAAATAATTTTTTTAGGCAACCCCAAGAGGCGTGGATTTTTTAAATAATTTTTTTTAGGCAACCCCAAGAGGCGTGAATTTTTTAAATAATTTTTTTAGGCAACCCCAAGAGGCGTGGATTTTTTAAATAATTTTTTTAGGCAACCCCAAGAGGCGTGGATTTTTTAAATAATTTTTTTAGGCAACCCCAAGAGGCGTTTTTTTTAAATAATTTTTTTAGGCAATGGATTTTTTAAATAATTTTTTTAGGCAACCCCAAGAGGCGTGGATTTTTTAAATAATTTTTTTAGGCAACCCCAAGAGGCGTGGATTTTTTAAATAATTTTTTTAGGCAACCCCAAGAGGCGTGGATTTTTTAAATAATTTTTTTAGGCAACCCCAAGAGGCGTGGATTTTTTTTAAATAATTTTTTTAGGCAACCCCAAGAGGCGTGGATTTTTTAAATAATTTTTTTAGGCAACCCCAAGAGGCGTGGATTTTTTAAATAATTTTTTTAGGCAACCCCAAGAGGCGTGGATTTTTTAAATAATTTTTTAGGCAACCCCAAGAGGCGTGGATTTTTTAAATAATTTTTTTAGGCAACCCCAAGAGGCGTGGATTTTTTAAATAATTTTTTTTTGTCAAGGTTCCACCCAAGAGGCGTGGATTTTTTAAATAATTTTTTTAGGCAACCCCAAGAGGCGTGGATTTTTTAAATAATTTTTTTAGGCAACCCCAAGAGGCGTGGATTTTTTAAATAATTTTTTTAGGCAACCCCAAGAGGCGTGGATTTTTTAAATAATTTTTTTAGGCAACCCCAAGAGGCGTGGATTTTTTAAATAATTTTTTTAGGCAACCCCAAGAGGCGTGGATTTTTTAAATAATTTTTTTTAGGCAACCCCAAGAGGCGTGGATTTTTTAAGTTCTTTTATTTTTTAACCAGCTCCTACTTATATTTTATTAGAATTATACTTTAAATTATTTTTATTTTTAGAATTGTTGATCTGCTATAAAATTGTGACACATTTTCATCTGCAGTACATTCTGTCAATGACCTTGGCATATTTATTGTGCACCACATTGCGGCGTATTTTCAAAGTTGGCCCTATAAAAGAGAAGCTATATTTTATTCCCAACATGCCTTCACCCCTTCACTTACCCAATTCCCCGGTGGGTATGGAGAAATCATGTGGCAACACGGTAAAATATTGAATTTTCTGGGCATTCGATATGGCCTGGCGATTATAACGTTCAATACCTGACTTCAATGCCTTTTCTAATTTTTCATCAAGCTGTACCTCAACACGGGAGGGATCGAAGTTTAGAAGATTTCCCGGCATTGCCATGTGTAACATTTCCGATAGATGGGTATAATGTAACCCCAATGTGGCTAACCATTCTTTGCTTTCTGGCAAGAGAGTATCCTGTGGATATCCAGTATTGGGATCCATGTCAGTCTGTGACGATAAGAAAATTTTAAATTATATTTTCAGCGCCGATACACCCCATACCTTAAACGTCAACAATGCCGTCAAATATTTCCTACGATCTCCAATGGCCATAACATTACTCAAGCACGGCAATTCCTTTTTAATCCGATCCTCAATGTATACCGGTGGTATATTTTCACCACCCGCCGTAACAATGAGTTCCTTTATGCGACCGCTAATAAATAAATTTCTCCGGGCGTCTAAATAGCCAATATCACCGCTCAAAATCAAACCATCTTCGGTTACCGCCTCCTTGGTCCTTAGGGGATCCTTTAAATAGCCCGTGAAATTTGTGCGACCACGCATAAGGATCTGAAAAAGAATTTCATAATTTCTTACATTTTTTATTTTAATATCACTCCCGATTCTTACCTCTCCTTCACCCCGACTCCCCTTGGGATCTTTAATTTTTATCTCCACACCCTCAACAGGTATACCGGTGCCACCATTAAGGGCCTTTGAAAAATTCAAAATCACGGCACCACTTAACTCCGACATGCCATAAAAAAGGATTTCAGCTCATCGGAACTTGGTGCTCCGCCAATGACAGCATCTTTTACAAACGACAAACCCAAGGCATTCTTAATGCGATTGATCACCATGGAGGCCAGCCAATATTTTACAAAGGAAGTGGGTTTTCTGAAAATCGAGAAAAACATTATTTAAAAAATCCACGCCTCTTGCAGACCCCTGAAAAACATTACTTAAAAAATCCATGCCTCTTGCAGACCCCAGAAAAACATTATTTAAAAAATCCACGCCTCTTGCAGACCCCTGAAAAACATTATTTAAAAAATCCATGCCTCTTGCAGACCCCAGAAAAACATTATTTAAAAAATCCACGCCTCTTGCAGACCCCTGAATAACATTATTTAAAAAATCCACGCCTCTTGCAGACCCCTGAAAAACATTATTTAAAAAATCCACGCCTCTTGCAGACCCCTGAAAAACATTATTTAAAAAATCCACGCCTCTTGCAGACCCCTGAAAAACATTATTTAAAAAATCCACGCCTCTTGCAGACCCCTGAAAACTTTATTTAAAAAATCCACGCCTCTTGCAGACCCCTGAAAACTTTATTTAAAAAATCCACGCCTCTTGCAGACCTGGAAGAAGACCCACCTTTTCAAAAATATTCTTTAAAAAATCCACGCCTCTTGCAGACCCCTGAAAACATTATTAAAAAAAATCCACGCCTCTTGCAGACCCCAGAAAACATTATTTAAAAAAATCCACGCCTCTTGCAGACCCCTGAAAAACATTATTTAAAAAATCCACGCCTCTTGCAGACCCCTGAAAAACATTATTTAAAAAATCCACGCCTCTTGTAGACCCCTGAAAAAATTATTTAAAAAATCCACGCCTCTTGCTGAGGATGTCCTTTGTTAAAATTCTTTAAAAAATCCACGCCTCTTGCTGAGGATGTCCTTTGTTAGAATTCTTTAAAAAATCCACGCCTCTTGCTGAGGATGTCCTTTGTTAGAATTCTTTAAAAAATCCACGCCTCTTGCAGACCCCTGAAAACTTTAATTAAAAAATCCACGCCTCTTGCAGACCCCTGAAAACATTCTTTAAAAAATCCACGCCTCCTGCAGACCCCTGAAAACATTCTTTAAAAAATCCACGCCTCTTGCAGACCCCTGAAAACTTTATTTAAAAAATCCACGCCTCTTGCAGACCCCTGAAAACTTTATTTAAAAAATCCACGCCTCTTGCAGACCCCTGAAAACTTTATTTAAAAAATCCACGCCTCTTGTAGACCCCTGAAAAACATTATTTAAAAAATCCACGCCTCTTGTAGACCCCTGAAAAACATTATTTAAAAAATCCACGCCTCTTGCAGACCCCTGAAAATATTCTTTAAAAAATCCACGCCTCTTGCAGACCCCTGAAAATATACTTTAAAAAATCCACGCCTCTTGCGGACCCCTGAAAATATACTTTAAAAAATCCACGCCTCTTGCGGACCCCTGAAAACTTTATTTAAAAAATCCACGCCTCTTGCAGACCCCTGAAAACTTTAATTAAAAAATCCACGCCTCTTGCAGACCCCTGAAAACATTCTTTAAAAAATCCACGCCTCTTGCAGACCCCTGAAAACATTCTTTAAAAAATCCACGCCTCTTGCAGACCCCTGAAAACATTCTTTAAAAAATCCACGCCTCTTGCAGACCCCTGAAAACATTCTTTAAAAAATCCACGCCTCCTGAAGACCCCTGAAAACATTCTTTAAAAAATCCACGCCTCTTGCAGACCCCTGAAAACATTCTTTAAAAAATCCACGCCTCTTGCAGACCCCTGAAAACATTCTTTAAAAAATCCACGCCTCTTGCAGAGCCCTGAAAAAATTATTTAAAAAAATCCACGCCTCTTGCAGAGCCCTAAAAAATTATTTAAAAAATCCACGCCTCTTGCAGAGCCCTGAAAAAATTATTTAAAAAATCCACGCCTCTTGTAGAGCCCTGAAAAAATTATTTAAAAAATCCACGCCTCTTGTAGAGCCCTGAAAAAATTATTTTAAAAATCCACGCCTCTTGTAGAGCCCTGAAAACATTATTTAAAAAATTCACGATTCCTGCAGACCCTGAAAAACATTATTTAAAAAATCCACGCCTCTTATGGACCCTTGAAGAAATTGTTTTAAAAATCCACGATTTAAAAAATCCCCGCCTCTTATCGACCCCTGAAAAAAATTATTAAAAAATCCACGTCTCTTACCCCTTTATCCTTTGCACATGATATTCCAGCATAGCTGCCCTTGCGTTCTGCAATATCATCCTCCTGAAGCAATTGGATCTCTCTTCCAATTTCAAAAGTTGTTCGTGGATTTTCTCAAAAACCCTTGGAACTCCAAACAGCATCGTCGGCTGGACTGCAATAAAATTCTTGACCAAAGTACCTTTCAAAGCATTCCGATCGGCAAAATATGTCAATGTTCCATTATCCATCGCCATAAACGTAGCATACAACTGTCCTGCAACATGATTTAGCGGTAGGTAGCTAACGATACGTTCATGACCTCTATTAAGGAAGTCAAACCTGTGATTAATGGCCTGGGTTAAATATACAATGGCATCATGGGAGATCATACAGCCTTTGGGCATGCCTACGGTACCGGACTGGAAGTTAAAAAAAAAAATATTTTTTCTGAAAGAATATATATTTACTCCTAAGGGCGAGAACCTACCGTAAATATAATCAGGGCACACTCATTTGCCATCACTTGACGTTCTCTTCGATAAAGATCCTCCCTCAAAGATGGACTAAATTGCATTTGAAATAAATCTGACCACCGCCAATAACCCTCCGTTTGAGCTTCCCCACCGAAATCAAAGGGTCCATGTAGCTGAACAACCACCTTCAGCTGAGGCAAACTGGAACGTATCGCTCGAATTTTCTCCAATTGCTGGCTATCATCAACCACCACCACACTGGCATCTGAGGTCTCCAGAATATGGTGAACAGCCTCCGCTGAATTGGTGGTATAAATTCCCGTCGATACGGCATTTATTCGCGTCACAGCCAAGTTGACATAAAACCATTCTGGACAATTGTAGGACAAAATTCCTACAGAGGTTCGGGGTTGGACACCCAAGTGTAGTAGAAGTAATGCTGTCTGTTCCACATTCTTCTCATATTCTCCATAGGATATTGTGGTCCACTCCTCAACGCCTTCATCTTTATAAGCCAAGGCGGGACGATCTCTGAATCGCTCACAACATGCATGGAAAAATTCAGGTATTGTTTGGGGTTTAATTTGCAAGAGATTTTCCTCAGAGGCTAATATTTTGACGGGCTCATGTAAGGAACAGGTGGTAGAACTCAGGGCCGGTTTAAGATTCGACATCTTCGAGGATATTAGAGAACTTCTGCAAGCCTTTAAAGATAATTCTTAAAAATACCAGAAAAAGTTTCTTTTAAAAATCCACGCCTCTTCAGGATGCCTAAAAAATTATTTAAAAAAAACCCACGCCTCTTCAGGATGCCTAAAAAATTATTTAAAAAAAACCCACGCCTCTTCAGGATGCCTAAAAAATTATTTAAAAAAACCCACGCCTCTTCAGGATGCCTAAAAAATTATTTAAAAAAAACCCACGCCTCTTCAGGATGCCTAAAAAATTATTTAAAAAAAACCCACGCCTCTTCAGGATGCCTAAAAAATTATTTAAAAAAAACCCACGCCTCTTCAGGATGCCTAAAAAAATATTTAAAAAAATCCACGCCTCTTCAGGATGCCTAAAAAATTATTTAAAAAAATCCACGCCTCTTCAGGATGCCTAAAAAATTATTTAAAAAAATCCACGCCTCTACAGGATGCCTAAAAAATTATTTAAAAAAAATCCACGCCTCTTCAGGATGCCTAAAAAATTATTTAAAAAAAATCCACGCCTCTACAGGATGCCTAAAAAATTATTTAAAAAAAATCCACGCCTCTTTAGGATGCCTAAAAAATTATTTAAAAAAATCCACGCCTCTTCAGGATGCCTAAAAAAAATATTTAAAAAATCCACGCCTCTTCAGGATGCCTAAAAAAAATATTTAAAAAATCCACGCCTCTTCAGGATGCCTAAAAAATTATTTAAAAAAATTCACGCCTCTTCAGGATGCCTAAAAAATTATTTAAAAAAATCCACGCCTCTTCAGGATGCCTAAAAAATTATTTAAAAAATCCACGCCTCTACAGGATGCCTAAAAAATTATTTAAAAAAATCCACGCCTCTTCAGGATGCCTTAAAAATTATTTAAAAAAAATCCACGCCTCTTCAGGATGCCTAAAAAATTATTTAAAAAAAATCCACGCCTCTACAGGATGCCTAAAAAATTATTTAAAAAAAATCCACGCCTCTTCAGGATGCCTAAAAAATTATTTAAAAAAATCCACGCCTCTTCAGGATGCCTAAAAAATTATTTAAAAAAACCCACGCCTCTTCAGGATGTCTAACAAAATATTTAAAAAAATCCACGCCTCTTCAGGATGCCTAAAAAATTATTTAAAAAAACCCACGCCTCTTCAGGATGTCTAACAAAATATTTAAAATAATCCACGCCTCTTCAGGATGCCTAAAAAATTATTTTAAAAAAATCCACGCCTCTTCAGGATGCCCAAAAAATTATTTAAAAAATCCACGCCTCTTCAGGATGGTGATCTTGGTAAACCGTGAAAAAATATTTAACAGATCCACACCAAGGGTCCTGAGAATTATTTTATCTTACCTGCCGATAAAATATATTTCTCCACAAGAGCTACCTCTTAATTTTACAAATGCTCTGTCTAAACTGACCAACGATTGTTGGACTTTGCTTACGATCATGCGCCAATGGATTTCAAGGGTCTACAAACGAACCTGGTTTATCAATAAACATATCAAGATCCAGTTTTAATTACAAATTATTGCATTGTTATTTTTTCTGTTACCGGTTGTTATTGTTTATAGCTTCAGAAATGTATTTACAGCTTAGCCAATATAATAGAAATATACAACAACAACAAAAAATACAACAACAATGTATAACATAAGATTTCCGTTCAGTCCTAACTTAATTAAAAATTCATATTCTATAAACAAAAATTGACATTTTAAATTTATGGCTTGTGATTGGCTTTGACGGGTACTTTGCCATCGGTATCCGTTAAGCTATCTGTTTCGGCTTCATCTAATGTCGCTAGCCTGGGTTGATTGTTTTGTAATTTTTCCTGCAACAAAGTGAAAAAATTTTGAATTGTTTTGGAGTCTCAAAGAAATATTTTCTTACCTTCATTTTCTTAAGTTTCGCAAGTCTCTCACGACGATCAACCAATTTTCGGGCTATTCTCAGGGCCGAAAAAGCTATGGCAATGGCAATAAGCATCCATATCACTACCGAACGGGAATCGAATTTATCCATGCGTATTTTAGGCCAGAATAGGGGTGGTGGTGAGGGATGGGTTTCGAAGGGGGTGGTGTGCTGAAAATAGATACAAAGGTGGGATAAAGTGATTTCAATACCCTGAAAATCTTTAGGAGGTTTTTAAAGAGGACCTCTGTATCTAGAGTACATCTTAAGGGGTTTTCTAGGACTGAAACAACTCTAAAGTGGTCCTCTAAAATGAAAAGACCTTTGAAGAGGTCATCTATGCCTACATTATACTCTAATCTGTACCTATAAGACCTTATAAGGTGATCGTCTTTACTTAAAATACCCTCTAAAAGCGTTCTCTATAGCTAGAAGATTATCGAAAGAGATCCTCCTACGAAAAGATCCTCTGAAGAGGTTATCCGTACCTAGAAGACCCTCTACGGGGGTTCGCTATACCTATAAGACCATCTAAAGGTGTCCTCTACACCTAGAATATCCTCTAAAGGGATCCTCTATACTTAGAAGAACCTCTAAAGTGGCCCTATATACCTACAAGATCCTCTAAAGGAGTCCTCTATACCTAGAAGACCCTCTAAAATGGCCCTCTATACCTAGAATATCCACATTAAAAATAACCTCTAAAGGGGTCCGCCATACCAAGATGACCCTCTAAAGGGAGCCACTATTCCTAGAATATCCTCTAAAGGGGTTCGCTATACCTAGAAGACCACCTAAAGGTCTCCCCTGTACCTAGAATATTTTCTAAAGAGGTTCTCCATACTTAGAAGACCCTCAAGAAGAATTCGATATAACTAGAAGTCCTTCCAAAAGTTTCCTCTATACCTTTAAGTTCCTCTATATTGTTCCTTCATACTTAAAATACCCTCTAAAGGGGTTCTCCATACTTAGAAGACCCTCTAAAGGAATTCGGTATACCTAGAGGACGATCTAAATGTGTCCTCTACACCTAGAATATCATCTAAAGGGGTTCTCCATGCTTAGAAGCCCCACTAAAGAGATTCGCTATATCTAAAATACAATATGAAGTCGTCCTTTATACCTAGAAGGTCCTTCATATCTAGAAGATCATCTAAAGGGGTTGGCTCTACCTATTAGACCTTCTAAAGGGGCCCTCTATACCTAGAATATCCTCTAAAAGGGTCCTCCATAGTTAGAAGTTAGAAGGGATTCGATATACCTTGAAGACCATATGAAGGTGTCCCCTATACCTAGAAGATCCTCTATAGGGGTCCTACATACTTAAAAGGCACTCTAAAAGGGTCCTCCATACCTAGAAGACTCTCTAAAGGGATCATCTATACCTAGAAGTCCCCCCTAAATGGGTTCGATCTACCTATTAGACCCTCTAGAAGGCCCTCTATACGTCTAAAACGGTCCTCCATACTTAGAAGACCATCTAAAGGAATTCGATATAACTAGAAGACCCTCCAAAGGGATCCCATATACCTAGAATGTTCTCTAAAGGGGTCCTTCATACCAAGAAGACCATCTAAAGGGGCCATCTATACATATAACTCTGAAAGGTCCTCCATACTTAGAAGACCCCCTAAGGGGTTCGCTTTACCTATATACCTACAAGACCCTTAAAGAGGTCATCTATACCGTCCAAAGAGATACTTTAGACCTACAAGACCTTCATCAGGTTCTCTATAGTTGAAAGACCCTTTTAGGGGTCCTCTATTCCTAAAAGAAGTCTCTCTGAATGATCCTCAATCCTCAATAAGACCTTCTATAGGGGTCCTAAAATGGTTCTCTATCCCAGAAGTCCCTCTAAAATGGTTCTCTATACATAGAAGATCACTTTAAGAGGTTCACTAAAAACAGAAGACCCGCTAAAAGGCCATCTGTAGCTGTATTGACCATTAACACGTTCTTCTTCCAACATCCTGAATACCTTCAGATCTTATAAAAGTAGCCTTACCTCACTTCTTATAATTTCCATTCGCTTCTCCCACAGCTTCGATGTATCCAAAATAATTATACTCCTCCGCTTATCCTCATCATAACAATCAATACCGTTGGTCTCCAGCAGCGCCAGGCTCCATTCCGTATGTACAGCATATGTCTGACCGAAATTTATACTTTTCGGCATGCGTAACATTTCCTGGACCAACCATTTGCAGCTCCACCAATTATCGGCCAACTCAACATATCCGAAGTTCATTAGAGCCGTAATATTCAGCAAACGGAAATGATTACCGGTCAGATTCAGCTGTAACTCATTATGGAGCGGAATGTCCGCCAACATTTCGATAAATTCATCACGGGATAATTGATTGTGGGAGAGGTCCAGATCGTGAAGATATGACAGGCCATTGAAGATACTGGCATTTATGTCGTTCAATAAGTTATAGGACAGATCCAGATATTGTAACTGGCGTGTGGTGTTGAAGACATCCGGTGAGAGCTGGGAGATTTTATTGTGGCTCAGTTCCAAATATTCTAGGCTGTTGAGATCTTCAAAAATTTGGGATGGGAGATTTTCCAACAGGTTGTTGCTTATGTTTAGGCGCTGGAATGAGGAGAAAAGAATTACGGATTAATTTTGAAGGAGCTCTGATTTTTGAAATTCAAGGACCACAAAGCGGTGGTGATTTCTAAAATAATTTCTAGGGGTCCATACAAGGCGTGGATTTTTTAAATAATTTTTTTAGGAGTCCCAGAAGAGGTGGGGATTTTTTAAATAATTTTTAAGGGTCCCAAAAGAGTTGTGGGTTTAGGGGTTCCTAAATGGTGAGGATTTTTTAGATATTTTTTTCAAATGCTCACTAACCTCCAATGCCTCCAGACCCTCAAAGACATCCTGTGTGATCTCCTCCAATTGATTGTGAGATAAATCCAAGGTAACCAATTCAAAATCCTTCGAAAAAGCACCACCATCCAAACTATCCAGCAGATTATAGGATAAATTCAAATGCTGCAATCTCGTCATGCTCTTGACCTTCAAAAAATCCAAATCCCTTAAGTAGTTCCCCTCCAGTCTCAAGGTTCTCAAATGCGAGTTCGTATCAAAGGATGCTGCCTCAATTTCCCGAATTTCATTAAAATGCAAAGCTAAATACGACAATCGGTGCATCCCATGAAAGTTACGATTATCCAGCGTGATCAAACGATTCCGACCCAAATTCAGATATTTCAAATGAGGCATCCATCTGAAGATACCATCATCGATGTCATCTAAAAGATTGCCAGCCAAATGTAGGCGTTGGAGATTCGGGTAACGATAGAAGCTCTTCAAGGTTAGGGCCCGTATGGAGTTCCGCTTGAGATCCAAGCTGGTCAGAGCTGTCATCTGCTCATTGGACCATGATTTGACCTCGGTGATATTATTGTGAGCCAATGACAGGGAACGTAATTGCCTTAGGCCATGCAGGGCATAATCCTCCAGCTCGGATAATTGACTGTCGACAATCTCCAAATGGGTCAGCGAGGAGAATCGAATAAAGAAGGCATTCTCCAGCGACGGGACATAACAATTATGAACACTCAACTCAGTGATAATACTAAAATCGGGAAACTCCAATAGCTTCTCTTTATTGCAATTGTGGAGGTGTTGCGATTGACCATGAATGGTCCGCAGGATACTATTAGCGGAGGTTAGGTGGTGCTGGCCAACCTGCAGCAGTACCATTAGGATTAATGGCAATGTCACGACATTGTTATGCTTGAAAGCCATTGTGGATGTCGGAAGTAGAGGGAGGGAGGTTGCGTGCAGGATCCGCTTGATTAATGTCCAGGTTCTGCAGTGACTTGATACTCTAACGGGTCCTTTTTTCTTGTTCAGTGCTCTATTGTTTCATACACCATTCATTGTTGTTGTTGTTTTTCCTGATGTTGTTGTACAGCAGCTAACAGGATTTATTGTAGCCAAGAGTGGTTTGTTCCGATTTAATCGTACACCTACAGTGGGAAAAAATAAAAAAATAGGAACATTTAAAAATATTTTTTAAGGCTTGGGTAGCCTAGGGTTAGATTTTTAAAAAAAATTTAATTTCAAAAAATTTTAAGGCTAGGTGTTGATTTTTATACCCTACACAACTATGTTGTCAGGGTATTATAACTTTGTGCAGCCCCAAGAGTTTGTAACGCCGCGAAAGATTGGACCTAGACCCACCTTTTATATACCGATCGTCATATCTCGACTAGCTGAGTCGATCTAGACATGTGTGTCCGTCCGTCTGTCCATTATAATTAGTAAACACGATACATGCTACAGTTATGAACCAATCTTCACGAAATTTTGCATGTAGGATGGATTCTGCCCAATGAAGACCCCTATTGTTTTTGGTATAGATCGGTTAATATTGATGGGGATGAAATGGACCAAATACTTAATTTTTTCGGTTTTTCTGGTCGCTCCAGAGGCCGCAATTATGGCCCAACCATCTCGAATTTTACATAGAGAAGGGAATTGGGCCAAGGAATAAGGTGCTGTTGACATCTAATCGGCAAGAAGGTGCAACTATCACGAAATATTATCCAGGCTCGGAAAAAAATTCCGCAGAAAGATAGAGTTCTGTGGTAGTTGTGTAGGGGTCGGCCCCGTCCGACTATACTGCTCCGTTCACCGGTTTAAAATATATTTTTCAGGAAGCCAATTTTTTTTTTGTGTTTTTCTATTGCCTCAAATGTTCGCCTAGTCACCCAGGGTAGCCGGCACTTCTCCAACTAACAAAGCATGTCAGGGCATTTAGCAAATGTGTCTGTGGATTTTGTTGTTATTATTGTAGCCCATCATGTACCATGTTCCGTGTGTACTTATCTTGTCCTTTCGTTGTCGTAACATTAGTCGTCCCGCCACCAGCCAGCCATCCATCCAGCCAACCAACCCGGTCGGTAATCACCATAATGCGTTGTGTTTGGTGGTGGTTAGCTGTCAAGATAATACCACCGTTGTTTACAATTGAATAATATTTACAAATGAATAAAATTCTGGCGGAGATGCCGGGGATGCTGGGCGGTTCTGCTAGACGAACTCTGGCACTAGAAGTTACTGCAGCTATGTTATCATAGCGTGCGGTTCGTCTGTTGTTGGTCTCAGATACCTTTGGATGACTTTACTTTGAGGAATGAGGGAATGAAATGAGGAATGACTGACGGAATGATTGGATAAATCTGTTTATCTTTGTCTTGTTCTTCTTCTACTCTTTGAGGCCAAACACAGATATATGGTCGGGTAGGGAAGTTATGTGCGGAAACAAGAGATAAAGTCAAGTTATGGCATAATTTACGGTTAAAGGTTAAAAATACGAAGTAGACAATTAAAAAGGTTAAGGTGCGATTACCATATGTTGCAAATAAGTAAACAAGAGCAGATGCTTAAAAAAATATTTTTAAAAAATCCTCCGCCTATTGTTGAACCTTAAAAAATATTTTTAAACCAGTAAGGAAAGTAGTAAAGTCGGACACGGCCGACTATATAATACCATTCAACAGATGAATCGTAACAGACGTCTCTTTTTAAAGGACCAGTAACATGAAATTGGATCCATAAACATCTCATTCTGCAACCTATGTATATTAAATTTTTCATTTGGTCAGATATAAAACCTATATCTAAATATAAACCGATTTCACCATTTACGTTAAATCGGACGAAAATATATATGGGAGCTACACCTAAATCTGAACCGATTTTCAGGAAACTTAACACACATCATTTTAGACCTAATTCATTGCGCTGTGCCAAATTTCGTGTAAATGGAAAGTTATACAGGGACTCTGGTGCACAATTTACCTTAAATCGGACGAAAATATATATGGGAGCTATATCTAAATCTGTACTGATTTTCTGTAAACTTAACACACATCATTCTACACTTAATTCAGTAGGCTCGAAAATATATATGGGAGCTATATCGAAATCTGAACCGATTTACAGGAAACTTAACATACATCATTCTAGACCCAATTCATTGCGCTGTGCCAAATTTCGTGCAAATCGAAAGATAAACCCTGTGCCAAATTTCGTGCAAATCTGTCGATATAGGGACTAAAATCGGGCGAAACTATACATGGAAGCTACATCTAAATCTGAACCGTTTTTCAGGAAACTCCACACACATCATTCTAGACCTTATTCATTGCGCTGTGCCAAATTTCGTGCAAATCGAAAGATATATAGGGACTTTGGTGCACCATTTATCTGAAATCGGACGAAAATATGTATGGGAGCTATACCTAAATCTGGACCGATTTTCAGGAAGCTTAACACACATCAGTCTAGACCTAATTCATTACGCTGTGCCAAATTTCGTGCAAATCGAAAGATATATTGGGATATTGGTACACCATTTACATTAAATCGGATGAAAATATATATGACAGCAATATCTAAATCCAAACCGATTTACAGGAAACTTGACACACATCATTCTAGACCTAATTCATTACGCTGTTCCAAATTTCGTACAAATCCAAAGATATATAGGGACTTTGGTGCACCATTTACCTAAAATCGGACGAAAATATATGTAGGAGCTATATCTATATCTGAACCGATTTTCTAGAAACTTAGCACACGTCAATCTAGACTTTATTCAATCCGCTATGCCAAAATTCGTGCAAATCCCACTTTGGTGCACCATCTACCTAAAATCGGGCGAAACTATATATGGGAGCTATATCTAAATCTGAACAGATTTTCACGAAACTTAGCATACATCATTCTAGACTAGTGGCCTATACCAAATTTCGTGCAAATCGCAAGATATATAGGGACTTTGGTACACCATTTACCTTAAATCGGACGAAAATATATATGGGAGCTATATCTAAATCTGAACCGATTTCTCTCAATTTCAATAGGGTTCGTCCTTAGGCCAAATTAGTGACGTGTGCCAAATTTCATCCAATTGGGATCATAAATGCGACCTGTACTTTGTTTACAATTTAACACCAACAGACGGACGGACAGACGGACGGCCGGACGGACATGCATAAATCGACTTAGAAAGTGATTCTATGCATATTCTCAAAAGGAACCATGGGTCTATCTCGATTCCTTTCGCCTGTTACAAACATATGCACAAAGACATAATACCCTGTACCACAGTGTGGTGAAGGGTATAAAAAACCACGTCTATTATAGACCCTAAAACATATTTTTAAAAAATCCACGCCTATTTGTAAAAAAATATTTTTAAACCAGTGAGCAGAGCAGTATAGACGGACGGGGCCGACCATACGATACCCTACACAACTACCAAGGAACTCTATCTTTCTGCTGATGTTTATTTCTAGCCTGGGCAATATTTCGTGATATTTGCACTCTCTTGGCCGATTAGAGATCAACACCATCTCCTCCTTACACTGACATAGTTTCCGAATATTCCCAATATTCAGTACAAGTGTTATACTTGACCATAACTGGAACTTCATGGAACAGTTCAAAGCGATCAGCGCTATATATCCGTCCTCTAATGTGGTAATAGGTTACTGAATAAAATATGAATACGTCAGCAACTGTAAATATTTAAGTGTATCTCCCGCATCCGAGTACATATGGCAATATAGTTGGTATCAATTTAAAGGTCAACCGCTCATCTTGGATATCTTATAAACTTCTCGGGTCTATGTCCTTCAGAGGTTTATATAAACTTTGTCAGAATACACATTTCGTAATTTTTCACACAAAAGTCAGAGTCAATTTGACCTGCTAAATATTGACCGATCTTTATCAAAACAGGCATGCTTATTCCATGTAAAAATTCGCGATGTTCGGGCCATAATTGCGGCCTCTGGAGCGACCAGAAAATCATACAAAAATAAAGTTTTTGGTCCATTTCATCCCCTAAATATTAACCGATCTTTACCAAAAACATTAGGGGTCTTTATTGGGCCGAACCCATCCTATTTGCAAAATTTCGTGAAGATTAGTACATAACTGTGGCCTGTGTCGTGTTTACAAATTATAAGGGACAGGCGGACGGACACACAAACACATGTTTAGATCGATTCAGCTAGTCGAGATATGACGATCGGTATACATAAATGTGGGTCAATATTTCGCGTCGTTACAAACTCTTGGGGTTGTACAAAGCTATAATACCCCAAAAACACAGTTGTGTAGGGTATAAACATCCACGCCTGTTTAGGGAGCCTAAAAAATATTTTTACAAAATCCACGCCTATGTATAGGTGCTCAAAAATATTTTTAAACCAGTGAGCGGAGCAGTATAGTCGGTCGGGGCCGATCATATGAAACTCTACACAACTTCCACCAAACTCTAATATATGCGGTTCTATACTCTGAGCCTGGGCAAAATTTCGAGATATTTGCATTCTCTTGACCGATTATAGGTCAACAGCTCCATGTTCTAACCCTATTCGCCATTGAATACAAAACTTGTCATTTTTCACACAAAGGCCAGATTCCATTTGGCCCGCTAAATATCTTTATCAAAACAATCATGTTTATTCTTTGGCCCGATCCCCTTCTCCATGTATAATTTCGCGATGTTTGGGTCATAATTTCTGGTCGCTCCAGAGACCGCAATTATGATCGGACAAAAGTTAAGTATTTGGTACATTTCATCCCCTAAATATTAACCCATCTTTACCAAAAACAATAGGGTCTTCATTGGCCACAACCAATCCTACATTTCGTGAAGATTGGTCCATAACTGTGGCCTGTATCGTGTTTACAACTTATAATGGACAGACGGACGGACGGAC